GAGAGGCTGAGCTATGTCAGAGGTGTTGGGGCTCGCAGGATCAATGGGGGATCAGTTGTTGGAGAGCTGTGGGGTGACTCAACAGCAGTGAGTTGGGGTGGGGGGGCTGAGATGGGCCGTTTTGTGGGAGTGCCTGGGGACCCGGGCTGGGGGCTGGAGATCCGAATGGGGTTGTACAGCTATGGGAAGTCCTGAGCGGTGAAAGGAGTTTGGCATGCGATGGCGGTGTGTACCGCGGGTGGGCAGGGAACTGAGCTGTGTGATGGGGTGTGGGGTGCGCAAGATACCTGCTCTGAGGGGAAACTGTACTGTGGGATGCAGGTGCTAGAGTAGGATATGTCCTGGGAGCAGAGGAGTAGTGTGGTCCTGGGCATTGGGGGGGGGGAGGTGTGGGGAGAGATTTTGGCAATGATTTGGGCTCATTTCTTTGCTGGCTGCCCCCTTACAGGGAAAGGGCTGGAGAAGTCAGCTTTTTGTGGAAAAGGGTGGAAGACCTGGGCAAGCGGGTGCGAGCTTGTTAGTCTGCTGGCGACTGAGCTGCTCTCTGGCAGAGGCATGCAGCCTCTCGCACCATTCACCCACTTAGGAGTGAAGGAGGGCTGGCCAGCAGCCTGCTGCGATGCCAAGTAGCCCTGCCCTGGGGGTCCCCTGGCTCCTCAGCCTGGTTGTCACTGTGTGTGCTTTCTGCTGCCCCTGCGGGTGGCTCAGACCCTCAGCAGCGTTCCCGTGTAACATGTGGTGCTCAGCCTTTGGCACTCTTTGAGTCCATCTGGCTTGGACGGTTGGTTTGCATCTCTGTGTGAGAGGGTGGAAAGGTGCTTGTGCCAGTCGAGGGCTTGCATTTGGGTTCAGTGGCTTGGGGTGAGCAAAGGTGAGTACCTGGCATTCAGGCTGTGGCAGTCAGTATCTTCTAGGTGGAAGAGCAAGCCTTCCCACTTCTCTATGCTACAGTAGCATAAGATGTGCAGTTTTGGCCTACTTCTTGCAGAGCTGGTGCACAGCCTTGCTGCAGCTTGTGGAGGCCTGTGCCCTGCTGCTGGTGGTATCAGGCTTGGTGGCACTAGGGATGGAATTTAATGCTCCTCTGAAAGGGGCAGCTCTAAGGGGTAAAGGGAAGATTTTGCATGATGAACTTTCCTGGTTATGCTGGCTATTTCCTCTTCTAGCACAGGCTGAAGTGAGCACAAGTCAGGCAGCAGCTGAGCAGGACTTGCTTTCTATTTCAGTGTTCAGATGAAGGGAGAGACTGAGTAAGAAGCTGAGGGTGTCTCAGTCCCTCGTGTTTCCAGGCTCTCTCCAGCAGGCCTAATGAACCTATTGCCAGGTTCAGGGCTGCCTTTGAGAGCTCTCTGAATCATGCGGTTTGCCCCAGCTCAGACACACACTGTGAGTTTGAGACTGTCAGAAAATGTTGGTGAGCTGAGCCCAGGTGCTCTTAACTTCCTCTGCCCTGTTGCAATCCCTTTTCTGGAACAGAGCAAGCAGGAAGCAGTCTCGCTCTATGCAACGTTGCAGTGTGCTGCTTCTCCTGGTCCTGAGCCCTGCTTTGCTGGTCCTAGCCCCGCTGCCCTGGCTGCTTTCTGTCCTCCTGGCTGCAGAGCTGGGAAACAGAGCTCTCAGAAAGCGTCCTTCACCCCATTTGCTTTGCATATGAATCCAGGGCTACGTTTGCTCCTGAAGAGAGGGAAGGTGCCCCAGAGATCCGTGCGAAGCTGGATGTAGCTCTTCTTTCCTTCTTCTAGGGGCTGGGGCAGCTGAGTCTGGCTGGGTTCAGTTCCTGCTCTGCAGACCAAGCAATGAACCCAAAACACAAACAAGTACCAAACTGGCAAGGCCTGGCCCTGGCAGCACAGAGGAGAGCATCCGTGAAGGTCACCAGGCACACAGGCTAGGGTGCGACTTCCCTTCGTGCTCCTTGGCCATGGTGCCGTTCCTCATTTGTGTGTCACTGCTGAGGGGAGCCTCTCCACTTCCTTTGCCGGAAGGAGTGACTGGCGTTCCTGCTTCCCCTTTTGAAATTGGCTGGCCTGGCAGCCGTTTTACTTCCTCCTGGTGTGCAGGGTGCTGGTGTCCTCACAACCTGGGTCCTGCATGGTGGATTTTGGTCTACAGGGCCAATGTGGCAGGTCTGTCTATGCTAGCAGTACCAAGGCCCTCCTAGGTGATTAGTTGTCTTGTGGATCTTGGCCATGGGTAGGGAAGGACTCCTCCAACTCTGCAGCATGCGGTCCTGCCTCTGCGTTACTGCTGGTCACGTTGCCTGCTCGCCATCACCTCCTGCCTCCAGACTGACTCCTGAGGGAAGGGAGCAGCAGGCTTGGCTCAGTGGCTTCTCTGCTGTTTTTTTTAAGTATTTCAGAAGTCTCCTGTTTCTTCTTTTTCTGGCTTTAGGTGGAAGTGAGTGCCGTGCAGCCAACTGACTCTAGTCAGCAATGGCAAAGAACTGTCCCTTAACTCTCTTTATCTGGTGTGGAGCAGATGCTGCCACACCGTTTGCAGTTATCTGTTCCTTGGGGCCCGGTCACCGACTCTTTTCCAGCTGCCTGCTTTCAGCCATGTAAAGAGTGAATGCCTCTTCTGATCTGCAACTGTGTTTCCCCTTTGGTGTTTACGAGCTCCAAGTAAGGCATAGTTTTGGTACGAGCACCTGTGCGCATGCTCAGGCTGCTGGGTGCGACTCCCTGCTGCGATTCAGCATGGAAGAGGTGCTTGGGTTAAAGATGCCCAAGGATGAGCTGAATTTTTGCTGTCGGTCTTGCTGCTGCCCGCCCCTCTGGCCACGGTGCATTTGCAGAGTGGCAGTCCGAGTTATGAGCTGCTGACTGTTTCCTCCAGGAATTGGTTAACGCTGTGGCCCTCCACTCGGCTGGCTCCATTCGAAGGCATGTTTGGTTCCCCCTGCCCACGAGAGGCTGGCGAGCGCTGGAATCTCGCAGTCCACGCTGGCTCCCTCCTTCATTGGTGGCTCTGGGCTCTTGTGTGAGAGGAGGCCAAGCTGTCAGTGCAGCACCCAATTTTTCTCTGCAACGCCTGTGCTTTTGCTGTGCTTCAAGGGAGGCTTCTGACCTGGTGCAATCTCCCCTTGCTGTAGCTACGAATGGACACTATGCCCTGATGGGGGGGTCCGTGGACAGCGATGACCCTGGCTAAATGGGATGTGTTTGGCACTGCCATTGCTTGAGGAAGTTTCCCTTTTCATCTCTTGTGGCTGGTGGCAGGGTGCTCTGAGTAGAGCAGGGTGAACTGTCTTTGAATCTGTCCCTGTAAAAGAAGAGCTTTCCTGGGTTTCTCAGGGTTGGGCTTCGGTATTTGCTGCCTGTGTTGGAGTATAAATTTCCCTGGATGTGACTAACCCTGGAGGGAACACTGAGCACGGCAGCTAAGCCTTATTATCCGTGGCCTTGGAAGGACTGGGGGGGGGGGGGGG